ATAATATATATGTATTTGGTACAGGGTCTCACTACACAGTTCAGACTTGTAGTGATCCTGCCTTTTTTTTGGCTGGCTCAGGCTGCTTTAAGGGCAGGTCTGGTGAGGCTTGTGGAGCTGGGGATTGAATCGTGAGTCTTGGGTGACTGTCCGGAGAACCAGCAGGCACTGAAGGGCAGCGGGCACTGACCTGTGTCCCTCTGTATCACCGCGGGGCATGAGAGTTGAGCCCTCCCTCTGGCTGTGTGTCTACCTAGGCTTAGAAAAGAAGTCCTGTAGGGGCTTGCAGTTAGCTCAATCGTTCTGAGGTGTCTGCTTGGGCAAACTCCGTCAGGTGCAGGGGAGCACGATTCAATCCCCAGCTCCACAAGCCTCACCACACCTGCCCTTAAAGCAGCCTGAGCCAGCCAAAAAAAAGGCATTCCCCTCCTTGGCCATGCAAACCCAACCTTAAGAGCTCAAAGGTCACTGGGGCTGGTAGGGATGTGGATGACCAATCAGTAAGGTGGGCTGGGGGCCAGAGACAGACACTGGGGCTGGCCCCTCACACCTGCATGTCTCTGAGATGTCAGGCAACGAGCACACACTGCTAATTTTTCTGGCCAGCAGAAGTGAGAAATAAGAATTCTTATTCAGATACTTTCCCATTTTCAAAGTGTAATTTATGTTAGACACCTAATGTGTAATCCTGACTACTAAGGATGCTAAAGCAGGGGGATCCCAAGAGCAAGGCTAGCCTAGGCAACCTAGTGAGACCCTGCCTCAAAATGTCTCACAGAAACAGCACTAGGGTGTAGTTCAGTGATGGCCTAGCATGCAAAGTCCAGAGCCCTTTGCCAAACATAAGTTACCCACTTGGGAGTCAGTACTACTGAGGGACTACAGGAAGGCAGTAGACCGAGGGGGCAGCTCTCTGGCACTGCTTGCCTAGTGCAGGTAGTGCTTTTCTGCAGGTGGCAGAGGACAGTTAACTGTGCCAGGATCTTTTTGATAATGGGAAGTGGACCAAGTGTGAGAAGGGCTCACCTAACTGAAAGGGAGCCCTAAATGTAGAGGGGCCACACCCTGACTAGGCAGGGGCTGAGCATCCTACACCCAGCGGAGCATCCACATGAACTGCCCCAGGTGTCCTCGAGGTGACCTCTTACTATCATGTGTAAGGCTTCATACATGTGTACCATACCATACTAACTACTGAGAAATAATTTAAAAAATACATGCTCAACTCAAGGTTAAAAGTAGGGCACGGAAAATCATAAATATGCAGGAGCAGAGTGTAGAACACCCTAATACAGTAAGTTTGGTAAAAGAAACCAAAACAAAGGAACAGTGGCTGCTCACAGGTGGGTGGTGTCCTGGTTTGTCTGCTGTTCGCCTTATGCTACCTCAAGTAGCATACTTTCCGCTTTGAAGCCACTTCCTGGCTTGAGCATTATCTCTTGCCATTTGTGAGGTGCTCCAGGCAAATTCTCCTCTGGTCACCAATATCCAGGAAGGGACAGGTGACAAGAAGGCCATATTCGGAACAAAAGCCAGCTGTGCTTTTGGGGTTTTCTGCCACCTTCCACACACAGCCCAGGAGCTGCACCACCAGCAGGAAGTGCTGGAACACAGAGGCAGTCAGTGTTCACTGCGGCCTGAGTAGGCAGCAGGGCCTGGGTGGCCACTGCGGTGCCCAAGTACTGTCAGCACAGTCCTGACCTCCATCCACCTCGGGAGTGGCTGCTCTTCATGGTGCCTTAGGCCGGTGGCCCTTGCAGTGGATGACCAGCTGCGACTTCCAGTCGAAGGCACGGCCACAATCTCCGCAGGTGTGACGACGCTGGCCGGCATGCGCCTTGCGGTGGATGACCAGTTGTGACTTCCAGCTGAAGCTTCGGCCACAGTCCTGACAGGCATGACCTGGTGTGTGGCGTGGAATGCTGCGGGACGCACAGGGCTGTGGCATGGGCTCCGGGGCACGCGTGTGTGAGCGCCGGTGCATCACAAAGACCGACTTCCAGTCAAAGCCACAGCCGCACTGTGCACACATATAGGGCTTGCGAGGCTCGGGGGGGTCCTGATGGGGGCGGCGTGGGCTCAGCTCCCGGTCAGGGTTCGATTCCCGGTCCGGCAGCCCTGCGAATGGAAGTGTCAGGCAGGCACACACCAGATGGGGGTGCACAGGGTACAGGGCCTTGGGCAAGGCAGTCCTCACCCAGGGACATCGCAGAGCCGTACTTCTGCAGCATCGCATCCCAGTAGAGCTCCTTCTGTGATGGGTCCAGCAAGGCCCACTGCTCCTGCAGGAAGGCAACTGTCATGGCTGGGAAGAGATGCCATTCCTCCGTCACCATGTCTTGAACTGAATGGACAGCAAGAGGCCTGGGACCCAGCTGTGTTTCGCCTACCCTCCTTACTTATAATGGCTGTGGCGTTTCTGGACACAGGGACCTGGTGCTACGAGGACCTAGGTTTAGAGGTGTAGTGGGGACATTGGGACTCGTAAGCAGAGGTGACTGGTAATGCAGGAAGTTCAGGGTGGCAGCAGGGCCCCAAGGGAGGCGAGCTTGGTACACAGCAGGGGTCCCAATGGCCTTAGCGGAAGTGTACTTCCTGCCCCTGATGTCTGCCTCCTCACTGCCCCAAGGTATGTCCTCTGAGGCTTTGCTGAGTTGGGAAAGAGAATCTGAAGGACAAGCCAAAGTAAGGACAGGCAGACAGAAACCACAGGGGATGACAGCTAAAGGCTGAACAGGCTTTGAGGAAGAAGCCTTGGAGGGTGCAGCAGTCCTACTGCCTCAGGTTTCTGACTGGGCACGGGCTGTGGAGGGCACCTAAGGGTCTTCTCTGCCTGGAAGTGTCTCTCAATCAGCAGTTTGCTGCAGAAGCCTCGGAGGCGAACGAGCTGGGAGAAGACAACTCTCTCATTCCATCTACTTGGGAACACGGGGCTCAAGAAAGCAGAGCTTTGAGCTAAGCTTCTAGGCCTGACTGACTACCTTGGGAGAAAAGCCTTAGGAGACATGGGGCTTCGTGAACTTCCCAGGACAAGTGTCTTGGTCTGACCTCAAGTGTGGAGTGGGTGCTACCACACTGCTCCCTGTCCCCTTCCAGGGGCATACAAGTTCAAATGTCCAGGTGCAGCCCAGTACCTCTGGGAGCCAGCACCTCTCCAGAACTTCTCTGAAGATGAGGAAGCCTCACCCACGAGCTCTAGCCACACAAACCACATTTCCCTGGCCCAGGTTACGAGCCTCCTCCAGCAACAGACAGCAGGCGTCCCTCTGTCCTCAGGGCCTGTGGGGACAACCCTGTATTTCCCTGCTGAGCAGCAAGGAGCATGAGAGTCACTGCCCAAAGAGCCTAGGGGACCCCAGGGCAGAAGCAGTCACCAGGGATGGCCCCCCCAGTTACACACACGAGGGACGCTCACCTGAGTCCTGACTGATTCTAACGATGTGGAGGCTGATTCTCGGTGCTGCAGGTGGCGCTTGGATGATGGGGCCAGAAGTAGGGGGCTGACAGGGGCTGAAGCAGATGGGAAGTGGTGTCAGGAGCTACCCACATGAAGCGGGTGGAGGAGGAGCTGGTGTCACTGCTGAGGCCATGACCCATCACCGCTGTGTGACCCTGTGGGTAGCCATCCTTTGGCTTAAGCCTCCCTGGAATCAGCTTTGCAATCCTTCTAGGGCCCCCAAACCAGCCAGGGGCATCCGTCCTGGGTTCAGGAACCCCTGCCTTGGCATGACCTCTCCTAGATTCCCCCAGGGGCCCTTGGCCTCACCCATCTCCTGCCCATCCACACTGAGTTCCTCCTTCACACTGCAGTTGAGCTGGGCAGACTCTTCCATCCGGGTGTCTGGCGGGCCCTCCCCTGGGGCTGTTCCACAGAGGCCCACTGTCACTGAGGGCTGAGAGCTCCCAGAAGATGCCTCTGTCTCCTGGACTGCAGGTCGCACCTCTGGCTTCAAGATGTGGGCTGTGATCTAAGAAGAGGTGGCATGTCACTGGCTGTCCCTTTAGTCTGTCCTCCTGGAAAGTAAGGCCACCACACTCACCCAGCCCAGCAGCTGCCCAGGGTCCTGCTGCAACCCTTCCACCAAGGCAGCAGCCTCCTCGGGGCAGCCTGGCTGTTGTCTTTGAACCCAGGCCTGGATCTCAGGAGGCAGTGTGCCCAGGAACTGCTCCAGCACCAGCAGCTCCAGGATCTGCTCCTTGGAGCAGGACTCGGGACGCAGCCACTGCCGGCACAGCTCGCGGAGCCGAGCCAGTGCTTCCCGGGGCCCTGCCACCTCCTTGTAGCAGAATCCCCGGAAACGCAGCCGTGCACCTTCAGGTCCCTCGAGGTAGGTCTCAGGGTCCCCGGGGGGCAAGTATGAGGGACCCAGAGAGGACGGCATTCTTTTTCTGGAGTGTCTCCTTGGAGCTGCCAAGAGGAACCTGCAGAAAAGGTGGGATCAGAGTGTCATTCAAGGGGGGGTTCGCCAGGCCAAAGCAGACACCAAGCCCAGCCTAGGGGCCAAGGCTAGGACAGAAAGACCCTGAGGCCAGGGCCAGGGAGGCTGGGAAGCTTCACAGAAGGACTCCTGATGAGATGAAGGCCAAGAGGAAATGCAGAGTAGCAAGAACACTGCAGAACACTGACGTTGCATCGGATACTCGGGTACCAGAGGACTGCTAACAGAGGACAGCAAAGTTGCTTGTCCAGCAGGAGGGTCATTCTGGAAGGTGAGGCAGTGATCCAGGGCAGGGGCAGAGGCAGGGTGAGTCTGTACCCACAGTGCCTGGGGCACCAGGCTGTAGGGTAGGAGGCGGGGGTTCAAAGATGTGGTGCCTTCGTGGGAGCTAAGGTGACTAAGACCTCATGCTCCCTGCTACAACAAATGGGACGCTCCATGCCACCCGGACCGTGCCCAAAAAGCCGACCAAAACACTAGCTGCTAGCTGCAAGGCCTAATAGGCAGGAAAGTGACCCCTGAGAAGTTTGGGGGGGCTGTCTCCCAAACTGGGAAGGGAAGAGCAGATTTGCAGCAGGCCGGCCCAGGACAGGGCACATGGATTGATCTTGAGTGGAGGAAACGCCTGCAGGAAGGCCGGGGCTGCAGGACTCGCCGTCCGGGCCACTCTCCAGAGAGGGAGCAACACTGGGCCGTCCCCGACAGCCGCGCCCCGCTTGGCTAAGAACGCGCTCACCTCGGCCGCCACGAGGGGCTGGAGGCCACTTCCGGGAAGTGGCGCCACTCTGGCCCCACCCGCCGCTCGTCGCCCTGGCGACGCCACCCAGCCAATCCCACGCCTGTTCCGTCGCACCACCTTGATGTTGGACTACATTTCCCAAAAGCCTCAGGAAGCAAGGCCGGGGGCGCATTTTCAGAGGTTTCTCAGACTGAGAGGCGCTCTGCTGCCCTTGAGGAATGTGCAGTGCCAGTTTCGGGAGTTCTCTCCCCTAAATGGCACTTACCATTTCTTTGCATCCGAACCCCGGAACCCCGTAACTCACCTACTGCGGGCCGACAACGCGTTGAATTCCTGCGCATGTGCACAGCGGACCGAGTGTCTATTGGCTAGCGTTGCTCTCCCTTGACCAATCAGAGTGGGCATCCCGTTCCAGCACCTGTCTGCACCCCAAGGCAGGGTTCCCAGCCAGCTGTCACCTACTAATGACTACATCCTTCCCGAGCCAACGATGAGAGCGTCTTCCCATCCCGGAGAAGCGCCTCTGTGGCCTCTGGGTCAGTTTACTGGCGACTCCTCTGAAGACAGTCCTGTGGAGAGGGCCGGCGGCATTTGTTACACGGGGCGGTGGAGGATACTAGAAATTCTGCCTTGATAAGGCGCCCTGCAGCCTTGGGGGTAGGGGCACAGGCACTCTGGTGTGCAGCCACTTACTGCGGAGCTAACTATGTAATCCAGTTTGATCAGATAATAGCTTTGCAAGGGCTGGGCTTCTGTTCAAGTTCATGGGACGTGCTCAACCCTTCCTTTGGGGACCAGAACTAATCAAGATGGTCTGTTTATTTTCTCCCAACAGATGTTACCAGTTGTTTTACTTTAGTGGGTAGTCCAGGCTGGCCCTGAGCTCAGGGCAATCCTCCACAGGCATGCACTACCATGCTTGTTTTTATTTTTTATGTATTTGGTACAGGGTCTCACTATGCAGCCCAGACTCATAGTGATCCTCCTGTTTTTCAGCCTCCCCAGCTGCCCAGCTGCTTTTTTAAAATTTATTTATTTATTTATTTATTTATGTGTGTGTGTGTGTGTGTGTGTGTGGCCAGCTCAGCCCACCAGGGGGCGGGGCTGGCTGGCATGTGGAGCTGGGGGATTGAACCGCGGTCCCTGTGCTTTGCTTAGCTTAGCTTGTTCTAAGTAGGTGCTTTAGACCACTGAGCCATCTCACCAGCCCCTGCCCAGCTGCTTTTAAAATTTGTCATTGGGTCAGTTTTGCCTCCACATCAAGTGGCTAAACCATGACTTATTCATCCAACCCCCAACTACACTGTTTTGCTATCTTCTGATACCTAAGGAAATCCTGGGCTGCCAACTCTGGGTGAAGACCAGTGGTCCTTTTTTAAAACAAAATGTATTTGGTACAGGCTCTCACTACAGTTTGGACTCGTAATCCTATTTTCAGCCTCCTCAGTGTTGGGATTACAGGTGTACACCACCACACCTGGACTCAGTGGCTGGCTCAGCATGCCTGGGGGTGGAACTGGTGCGGCACATAGTGCAGGATCAAATCTGGGTCCTTGCACTTGCCTAAGCAGGCACTAAGGCGGCGGAGCGCTCTCTCCAGCCAAAGACCGGTGTTCCTAACAGTGACTGGAGACAATGAGCAGCTGTGTGGGTAGTGCTCATCACCTGAGATTTCCAGCAGCTCCCATGGGTTAGGCTAGTAGTTTTGCTCTGGGACCACGCAGGTTCTTTACAAACACCTTTCACTCACCACAGGTGGGAAGGATGCAGGGGCTTCAACGGCTCTTGGGGCTGCTCTCAGAAGTTTGCTATAGGCCCCCCTCCCCCAGCTGCTAGTTCCCACGGCGGCGGCTGCGCAACAGGATAAGCCTGCTTGGGCCGGTTTTCCTCTTCA